CCGCAGCCGGGGAGCCGCCCCGCCGCACCACCGATGGGGACGTCTCTCCTGTCCTATCCACCGCCTTCTTTGGGCTCTCCAGCTCCTCTTCTTCTGCCAGAGGTTTTCCGTATTCCCGTCTTCTGGCCCTCAGCAGGGGGCTCTCCGTCTTCCCCGCATCCGCAGCCTCGCCGGGCCGGGCAGCGCTCCTGGAGGACAGCGGGGTCAGAGAGGGGTCCTTGGTGTCTCTGCTCACCCTGAACAACAGAAACTGCTGTTAGTTTAGACTGCGGGATTCCCGGGGATGTCATCCAGCAAGGACAAGGCTGAGCAGTGAAAAGCTGGCATTGCCATGGGAGTCTCGGGATAAACTCACTGCTGCATCCAGCAGCTGGACAATGCCCAAGGATTTTATCTTAAATAAGCCCAGGTCAGCCAGCTCAGACAATTCTTGCTGTAGAGCCATGTGGTGTGACCAGCTTCAGCTCTGCCAAGCCAGCACTTACCTCCAAATATCCTTTTTCTTGACAGATTACAGCAATATGTAGGATTTATTTTATTTCTGTCAAAGCCAAAGATTATTCACTAAAATTTTATGAAACCAGCTCGCAGCGCACCCCCGACACATCTCAATGTTACGGCTGGGCATGTTTCACCCAGGCTTGCTGCTCCAAGAGCTCTGAACTGCAGGAGCCCTGCAACACCTGGGACAGCACAGCGAGGGGGGATGGCCAGGCAGGAGCACATCCCGGACAAGGGGCTGCTGCAGGAACCACTCGGGATCCACCTCTGCTCAGCCCTGAGGATCCACACCAGGATCCCAGCCAGGCTGTCCTCGTGCAGCTGATGCACAGAGATGGGGGGACAGCAGTCACCAGTGGGCCTGGGGTCACTGGTGTCACTAAGGCCCTGGTGGGACACTTCATGACCCTCTCCAAGCACCTACATTTGTCTGCTGTCCTCACTTCCAGGTGCCCAAACACTGCCCAGTCGAGAGAACCCAGGATTGGCCTGACTGGGAATTCTGCTGGGATGTGAATTTGGGAAAGAAAGGAAGGGAAAAGAGGAAACAGGGCAAAGCAAAGCAGCGGGACCCAAACAACAAACCCATCTCTGGGAGGGAGCAGCACTGGAGCTGTTCATGGCTGCAATGAAGCTTCCTGCCCTGGGAATGCGCTGTTGCCATGGGAATGGGGTGGGAGCGGATGATGCCAGCACCTCGTGGGACGCTCGGACCAGGCTCTGCTGACCCATGAAATAATTTACATGCTGAGATGGGCTGAAGACAAACTCCAGAGCTGGGAAATGCGTGAGTGCAGACGGGAAGGGGAAATGGAGCAGCTCCAGCTTCCTGGCACCCACTGGCACAGCCCATGGCACAGAGGTGTCCCCCTATCCTGGTACCCAACACCTTTCCCCACTCATTAAACCAGCCTAAATCACTTGATCATTCATTACAAAAGGAATTAATCAGAGATTTCATCTCCCCGAATCACTGCACCCTTCAGGGCCATCCCGTGCTGATGCTGTCAAAGCACCACAGCTGATTAATAGTTTGAGACATTTCAATAATGCTGGATTTTAGGATCCTAAATTGCATCTTACTTAAATGGCTGGTGTAATCCTTCGGTGAGGTTTTGTACAGAAATTGCTCCATTCATTCTGCACGTTTCCAAATAATATTGTAACCTGTGTGCTGCATGAATGGCTTTCATAAATTAAACACCGGCATCAAGGTTTTTATTTGGGTTTTAAGGCTGAGATAAAAGTGAGTGGAGAGGTGAGAACCACTAATGGGCTGTGAACAAGGACTGAACACGCTGTATTTATTGTCCTGTTCAGCATGACAGACAGGTACTGCTTTTATGAAAATCTTTGGAGTCTGAAATGGAGTGAAAGCTGCAAAGGTGGGATTGTTCCAGCTTCCATGGCTGGCAAGGGCCACACAGCCCCAGACTCCAAGCAGGGACCTCACACTCTCCATGCCCTGGTTTCCAGCAAAAGGCCAAGGCTGCCCCATCCATCCTTGTATCTCCCAACAGGTCCCATTTTCTGCACCCATTAAACTTTCAGAGGACAGGGTTAGACAGGATACTGGGAAGGAATTCTTCCCTGTGAGGGTGTGAGGCCCTGGCAGAGGCTGCCCAGAGAAGCTGTGGCTGCTCCTGGACCCCTGGAAGTGTCCAAGGCCAGTCTGGACAGAGCTCAGAGCAACCTGGGCTAGTGGAAGATGCCCCTGCTCATGGCAGGGGATGGAACTGGATGATTTTGAAGGCTCCTTCCCACCCCAACCATTCCATGATTTGCTTCTTTAACTGCTCCCTTAGGCCTACAAAAATCCCCTCCAAAATCATGGCTAGTCTTCCTCCTCCTCCTCCTCCTCACAAGGCAGGACACAAGAGTGGTCACTCCCCATCCTGCAGCATCCTCCACTCATCCATAAATCCCTGGCAAATGGCTGATGTGCCAGAACGAATTCCCAGGTCTCAGAGTGACCCCAGGAAGTCACAGGCAGCCCCAGAGGAAGGTGATGCCACAGGAGGAAGGACCATGAGCCCCTCCAGCCCCGAGCAGAGCCCTGCTCCTCCATCATCCTCAGGGAAGATGATTTTCCCAGCAAAAGGCAAAAGATGGAAGCCAGCAGAGCTCTGCAATCTGCCATTCACCAAACCAAATGACATACAACAATAATTAGTGAAGATTACATAGCAATTAGCATGATTACAATTATACCAGTTGAAATCATTTATACAATAAAATCCACACATGCTTTGCAACACATGACCAAGGCCAAAAGTGTGGCTGGGATGCTTTTCCTGGGAGCTCATAAATAAAGCCAAGACAGCTCCATTTCAGGGAGGGAAGAGAGACACTGGCCTCATTTCTGTCAGAAGAGGATTTTCTTGTCACACCGTCATCTACACAAGAGCTCCCAGTTTCCCACGGAATGATTTGCTTTTGACACAGTCGTGCTTAAAAATAAACGTGTCGGATCCCCAGCAGCCTTGGGACCAGGGCTCTCGGTTTTGTGACCCAGGGTGGGAGGGGAATTGCTGTCAGGGTGATCCTGGGGTGATGCCAGGGCTGTGGATGCCACAATCCTGTGGGGTGCAGGATGGAGAGGCAGATCTTGGGCTGTGGATCCACTCCCTGACTGCACTTCTGGGTAACCCCCCCCATCACAACACAACCCTGACCTGCCTGGAAAGGGGCAGAATAAACTTTTAACTTGGCTTCTTAATAAAAAAACCATATTTATCCCAACCTTGCACTGTGTCATATTTATGGAGGCTTAGCTCTGCTGGCCAGTGTTTTGTACAGGCATTTAAATAGCAGAGAATTAAAGGAAACGTTAATCAAAGCTCTCCTTCCTGTAAGCACACGGGTGATAAGAGCTCCTCTCTCTCCTCTGGCTCTTGGCAGCTGTTTGTTCAGCAAACACCCCAGATGTGGTGCTGAGCAGCCAACACGAGCAAGTCTCGTTTTTCATTACTGGGAGCTGTGTAAGACAAAGGAATCTTAATAAGGAAGAGCTCGTTTCCCTGATCTCATTTTTATTACCTCCAGTCTCGTCTCCTGTTTGTTTGCATTTCGTCCCCTCCTCGCTCCATTTCCATCATAGATGAGCTGCAGCCAAACACAGCTCCCACACAATTGCATCTGCAATTTGCCCCTTCACAAGCCCCAGGACAGAGGGTGATGGTCATGCTGTGACACCTCACTTTTCACAAGGGCCACAGGCAGTCTGGCAAACCCCAGAATCCCAGAATCCCTGAGGCTGGGAAGGAATCCACGACCATCGAGTCCAACCTGTGGCCAATCCCCACCTTGTCACCCAGCCCAGAGCACTGAGTGCCACCTTCCTTAGACACCTCCAGGGATGGGGACTCCAAACCTCCCTGGGCAGCCCCTGCCAAGACCTGACCACCCTTTCCAGAAGGAAATTCCTCTCAGTGTTGAAATTGAAAGCCTGTGTGTCTTTTACTATAAATCCAAGGTGTTTCAGCTCAGAAATAAGATATTATCCACAATGCCTGTTTTTCTGTCATTCATTAATGATCAGAGTTGGGTCATTTGCACCAAAGCCTCCTCAGCAGCACTTAGGAAGGACTTTATTTATTATGTGAGGTCCCAGTGAGCTCAGCCAGCTGCTCACAGGGCTCCCACTCATCACTGGCCTGTGACTGTCCCTGTCCATGGCAGGGAGTTGGAATGAGATGATCTTTAAGGTCCTTTCCAACCCAAACCACTCCAGGATTCTGTGATCTCCCCACAGGTCTCTGCCCCGCCTGACTGCTCTCAAACTCTGCCTTGTGCCTCCCCAAACTGCTCCAGCTCACCCAAGGTGTTTCCTGCCAGGGAACTGCTCTTCAGAACATCAGTTCTGACAACAGTGATTCTCCTGTACAAGGCAGGTGGGGGCCGTGGGGACAGAGCTCGCCAGAATCAGAGCATGGAGATTAATACTAATGTCTGCAGTGAAAATGTGCTCCACGATCCTGACAAATTCTGTCACCTTGGAGCATCTACCTACACACCTGCAGGGAGCAGGTGGGAGCTGCAGCGAGCTGTGCCCAGCCTCAGCCCTGTTTATGCAGAGAAAAACTGCAAAAATAGTGATGCATGTCCTGAGACACCACCCCTGGGAAAGCAGCAGGGTGGGGAGGCCCAAAATCACAGGGGCTGCAAATTGGGGCACTGCCAGCCCTGCCCACCCTGAGTTTGGATGGTTGCCACCTTTTCCACCTTCCCTACCTATCAGAGGGATATCCACTATCCCATCCTATCAGAGGGATGATGCTCTCTGGACCCCACTCTGCTCCCTGCCCCAGGACTCCATCCCTGCTCCATCTCTGCCCTCACAAACCTCCAAGGGGATCTGACACCCTCCTTCATCCTCTCCACAGTGCAGCCCCAGACCCTGATTTACAGAGCTTTTCCAAACTCAACCCTTGTGATTGTTTCACACATGAAACACAAAGAACCAGTTTCTCTGTGACCCGGAAATGGGGTTTTTCTCTGCACTGGGTGGTCCCTCTGACGGGCACCAATTCAGGATGGGCACCTGGGCACCCACAGAGCAAGGCAGGGACATTTGGGCTGTGCAGGTGCTTGGGTCCCTCTCCAGCTCTCTCCCAGCCCATCAGCATCACCATCAAAAATTAACATACTTGATATTAGAAGGGTAGAAATGCATCCCTCTCCCTCAGCAGCGAGCATATGGCATACAAATCCTCAAACAGGCTGCACTGCCTCTTTAAATTATCTCCAGAGAATACATCAAGGGATATTTTCCTGCTTGAAGCATGTTTTTGATGTAGTGACTTTCATCTGGTGTTTCACTGATCCTGGCGTGGCAGTGCCTGCCTTCCTTGATTCCATGTTTTGACCTCAAACACCACAGGTCCCGCTGTGCTCTGTTTTGCACGTCCCAAGAGAGCCCAGCTGAAGCCCCCACATCTCAGCACCCCCCAGCACCCCCAGGATGGGCTGGGGGTCCCTTACCTGAGGCTCTGGGTGCTGCGGCTGCCGAGGGACGGTGCTGAAATGCTCCCGGCCACGCTGGCGCTCGCCAGGGACGTCCAGCCCGCAGAGGAACTCGGCCAGGACTTGATGCTCTCCGCGGGCTCCAGGCTGAGCACGGAGCCAACGCTGGAGCAGGCATCCCTGAGGGGGACAGGAGAGACCTGTCAGCTCTGCAGCTGCAGGCAGGAGGGCTCGTGGGTCACCCTGATGGTGACACGGAGCAGAGAGTCCTCACACCTCCACCACTGCAGCTCCAGCTGCTGGGCTCTGCTCGGGCTGGTTTGTGGGAACCTTTCCAGGCAGCCTGCTCCTTGTAGCATTGTTGCTGCCATTCATTATTTCCTCAAGCTTTTGCAAGTGCCCCGTAGACTTTGGGCAGGAAAACCCTGCACTGCCTGCTGTGCCTGGGGCTGCAGTGACAGAGCCAATGTGACCCCAGGCACCCCACAGAGCCCTACACACCCCAGGGCTTCCCCAGGTCTGGGACTGCAGTGACAGAGCTGCTGGGACCCTGGGTACCCCACTGTGCACCCCTGGGCTCCCTTAGAGCCAGAGCTACCCCAGCCCACCCTCCAGGAGCCCCCAGACCATGTGTAGTGGATGAGATCCTTCAGGATCTCAGTTTTCCTTCAAAGCCACAGATCATATCTCCAAGCACAGCCCAGAGCAGTGGAAGCATCCCTTGGGATAAGAGCCAGAGCTGCCAGGGAACGGGAGTGGGTCGATGGGCATGGGGCACACAACTCCAGCACATCTGGATGCCAGTGTGAGCCCTGTCCAGATGTGGCTCAGAACCCTCAGTGCAGCAGCTGGTGGCCCACAAGCTGTGGCAGAAGCAGGCCCAGGCTCTGTCCTTTGGCAGCACCATCTCCTGGGATCACTCACGTGTCTCTCCTGGAGCACAGCGACTCCCGCGCCGTCCGCACGCTGCAAGGAGCACAGCAGAGGGTCAGCCATGGCTCGTGGGGACCCCAAACCCACAAAACTTCCCAGCCTGATTCAGCAGAGCCTCTGTGCCTGGGACAAGCTTTCCTTTCCTTTTTTTTCTTTTTTTTTTTTTTTAACTAATTTATCTGTTTTGTCCATTTGTCATGAAGCCCCTTTAGCTGTGTGGCAGAGGGGAAAAAATTGAAGGGCTTTAGAAATAACACCTGAAAAATGCACTGGAATTCTTCCCTCATTTTTTTCCTGGTAAAACCCTCTACCCAATCACCCAGTTTTACTGTCTCCTCTGGCTCCTGGGGATGATCAAAGCAGGATTTTTCACTCCATGAACCCAGCGCTGAGGCACCAACAAACTGCTGCCAGGGACCTGCTGTACAAATGGGGCCATTCCCACCCTTTTTGCTCACTTTAAGCTGAGCCACACAGGATGATTTCAAGGGTGAAAACCTTGGTTTTCCATGAAACCTTCCATTAACACAGAGTTTTTTGTGCAGCCACGTGAGGATGAGGATGTGGAACTACCCTGGCACAGCCCAGCGCTGCCTCTTCCCCACACAGAGCAGCTGAGCCCCCCCAGATCCCCCCAGCCCTGTCCCTCACCTGTCAGCATCGCTGTCATCGCTGTCACGCAGCCCCTCCAGGGCCACCTGCAGGTCTGCGATGCGGCGGATGGAGGTGCCCAGGTCAGCCTGCAGCACCTGCCTCACCTCTGCCAGCTCTGCCAGCTGCTGCTCCTGCACGGGGAACACAGGTGAGGGTCTGCACCTGCACCTCAGCTGAGAGTGGGTGAGTGCTGAACCATCCCTCCCTCACCCCAGTGCTCCCAGAGCCTGTTGGTGCTGGTTACCTGCATGGACTGCATCTTCCAGCACCTTCCAGGGCTTAAAGGGGCACCAAGAGAGCTGGGGAGGAGTTTTGGGTGAGGGCAGGGAGTGACAGGACACAAGGAATGACTGCCCACTGCCTGAGGACAGGGATAGATGGGATATCGGGAAGGAATTCTTCCCTGTGAGGGTGGTGAGGGCCTGGCACAGGGTGCCCAGAGAATCTCTGGTTGCCCCTGGATCCCTGGAAATGTCCAAGGCCAGGATGGACAGGGCTTGGAGCAACCTGGGCCAGTGAAAGGTGTCCCTGCTCATGGCAGGGAGTGGAACAGGATGAGCTTTGAGGTCCCTGCAACCCAAACCATCCCAGGATTTACACACAGCTCCATGCACCCAGCATCGCCCACCTTGCACATCAAGGACACCAACTTGGCCCTGCACCCATGACCATCCCATTCCAAGTCCTTCCAGCTGGGAAGGGACCCTTCCTGCTGTTCCTAAGCCATCCCAAGGTGGAGAGGAGGGAGAAGCAGATCCAGAGTGATTGAAGCTGCCAGCTGTGAAATCGCCACGGCAGCGGTGACAAGGTGAGGGATGATTTGCGACAGGCCACGGCACAGGAGCTGGCACACTGTCACAGTAAATAATGGAAGGCCTGGAATCACTGGGCACACAGGCCCCAGGGGAAGAGCATCTCAGTTCATCAAAACATGAAAAGAAACAGCCCCGTTTGGGTCACACGGTGTCACAGCAGCTCCTGGCAGCGCGCTGGAATTGCTGGAAACCTCAGTGCTGCTGAGAAGTTCTCTGAAACTTGGTGTTTCCAAGCCCTCCACTTCCCTCCTGGCTCAGGCAGAAGGTGGAAAGGAGCTGTTTCATCAAGGGAAGCGTTCCATCAAGGACCTCAGGGGCTCAGAACAGGGCACACGGTGAAACGCCAAGCCCTGAGAAAAGAGCCCCAAGCTCCAGGTGCCTACGTGCCTGTGTTCAGCTATTTGGGGCAGTGAAACTGCTGCCTGATAAAGAGCTGAGCCCTTCCACAGCCTGATAAGAGCCTCTATTGACCCAGCTCTTCATCTGCAGGCTATGGCACAAATTAAATATAGTTCAGTGGCTGCATTTAATTCCACTCCTCTGTTCTGCTGTTGTTGACAGGGATGGGCAGGGAGTCACAGAGCAGTGTCCCCCTACCAGCACCCCAAACCCTCTTCCTCTGGACACAGAAATCCCCTGGAATGGCTGTGGGAACAGCAAACAGAATGTCCTGGGGGCTGGAGGGGTCCTCCCTAACCTCGTTACCTTCTGCATGGGAATTCTACCTTCTTCTGGGAATGCTGAGAGGAAAGGGAGCACCCCAGGTGATGCTGCTGAGCTGGGGCTCCACCTGCCACCCCCAGGACATCCCTGGGCACCCACACTTGGTGGCACCCACACTGGTGGCCTTGGGATGGGCACCTGCAGGGTGACACTGGGGACTGTGGGTGACCCCGGGGTCCCCCCCAGGCCACCTGAGGGGTAATTTGAGCGTGAGGCAGAAAATCAAGCTGACACTGCTCAACCCCACATCCCAGCTGTCCCAGATCTCATCCATGGAGACACCTCGTGTTTTTCTCCATGCCCTACAATTGTCTCCAGGAAAGGAATAATTTTTCCAATATGATTCAATTTCAGATGGAAAAACGCTGTCTGCATACCACAAATGGACAGGGCCCATCCCAGCACCTGGCACCCAGGGAGCTGTTGGACACCTTTGACACACGTTGTTTCTATCTAAATGTAAATGCAAGGAGCTCTTCTCTTTTCACAGAGTCCCTGGGCTGAGAACTGACACCCTCACACTGGGCAGAGCTGGCTTTTTGTTTCCTCTGAGCAGAAAAAGGGGAGAAAAAGGGAAAAATAAAACAGTTGAGAGAACTCATTGGGCAAACTGCACCACGGTTGGACCTGAGGTGCTGAAAGGAGCATCCTCTGCTCTTAAACCCCTCTTGGCACCAGAATCTCTGGTTGCTTTCACCAAACCAGTCAGACATGCACAGCAGGACCAGCCTGACCAGCTCAGAACCCCTGGCTGATGTATATTTTATCACCAATAAATAAAATATAAATCCTGCCCGGTTCTGAATACATTTCCAAACCAGATTCTCCCATTCACACTGAGAGATTGCCCCAGAGCAAAAGGCTGGCTCTGCTGGTGGGTCACAAAGCATGATTTTAGAAGGCTAAGGTTGATTTCTGCTGACAAGGAGCCTGGATTAAAGGTTTCCAAAAGACAAGGGGACAAGAGCTCACTCAGTGATGGCTGGCACTCAGCAAACCCACAGGGAGCTGCTCTCAGCTGGGCTCCTGCCCTCGCCCTGGGCTCCCAGGGAAGAGATTCTGCACATGGAAGGGGATTTCTAAACCTTCTTTTTCTTAAGAGGCGGGTTTTCTTTTCCCCTCAGCTAATTTTGTCTCAGAATTATTCGAGGAGAAGTTAAAAGGAGATAAACAAAGCCAGCAGTGAAATGATCCATGGGACTCCCAAGGATTCCCAGGCCGGAACATCCAGCACCACGTCCTTGTCACCACCTTGTATTTTTGTTTGTGCTTCTGCTGTGACAACGCCACCTTTGCTTGCTGCCATCCACCTCAAGTGAAGTATAATCTAATTAGTCCAATTTGGGTCACTTTTCTTCGAATAGCTCAGCGTGCACCTGCGGAATTCATCCATCATTATTATTTTTAATTAAGCCGTTAACTCCCGGCTTTTCGGAAAGTTTGAAGTGACAAAATTTGCGCACTTGAAGGCTGGAGTGAGATGGGGTGAGCACCGTGTAATTGGTGTTCGAGCAGCCACCGGCGCTGATGGATTCCTGAGGAATTTACTCTTTTAATGGCAAAGCAGAATCACAACAGCCCTAATTAGCTCGTGCAGCCGAGCTTTCACTCCTGGCTCCTCCATCACCCACCCTCACCTCTAAGGACCGGCTGCCTTTGATGATAATTGTCATCACACTTCCTCAAAGACATTTGCTCTTGAAGGGAAGAGCAGCTGGAAAGACCCAGGAGCAGGCGGGGATGGGGACACAAGAGCCAGGAGACATCAGAGGGTTTGCTGGGACCCTGCTGGGAGCTGAGCGTTTGCCTGGGTGGGAGCGTGGCATTCCCAGCTGGAGGCACAAACAGCTCCCACTTCGCTCCTCAAGTTCAAAAAAAAAACCCCCCAAAACAACAAAAAAAAACCACAAAACACCAAAAAACCCCAGCAAAACAAACAAAAAAACCCCAAAAAATAAAAAAAAAGCCAAAAAAACCCCAACCGACCAACCAAAAACAAAACCAAACCCTTTAAAGACTGCAAATGAGCAAAACCCCCAAATCCTGGAGTTCAGGCTGTGTTGTGTTATACAACATGGCCATAGCAGGGCTGGGGTACAAAGATTTGCCAGCAAAAGAACCAGGGGGAAAAAAAAAAGAGTTATTTACACTGAGGATCTCACAAACAAAAACTTGTGAAGAGCATCTTCACACCTGTACTGCAGCTTTCTGTAAAATTAGTTAATTATTGTGCTGATGAATTTCACAGCTTCATTAAAGAAACCTGATTTTAGGACAGCAGCCCCTGTGGTGTTCTTGGGGGGGTCAGTGGGGCTGTGCTGGGTACAGGGGGGCAGGAGGAGACCCAGAGAACCCCTGGATTGTTCCTCAGCCAGCCAGGGCTTCATCCCAGCTGGATCAGCCCCTGTTTTTTCCCTAGGCATTCCATCAAGGAGAAACCTGGCTCTCCAGGAGAAGAGACCTGAGGGGCTCCTGCCCATGGCTGAGCCTGTTCCAGAGTTTTCATCCCAGAGCCCTCATCCAGATGCTTGAATTCTCTCCCATGAAATCCAAGCTGTGCAGGAAGGTCAGTCAGCAGCAGCAGGGCCAGCACCGTCCTTCCCTAAGAGCAGCCTCAGGAGGGAAATCCCAGACAGTGCCTTGTCCCAGGTACTGTGCCAAGCCACTCACTGTCCCACATCCTGCTCCCAGCCCTTCTCCATCCTTCCCAGCTCCTGTTCCACCCTTCCCTGCACTGCAGCCTCACCAGGGGACATGAGCATGAGCGTTAGTGCACACACAATGGACACAGAGAGCAGGGCTTGGGTTTAAACTCCCCAGGATTAACTCCAAGCTGGAAATCCATCCCTCACTCCTCACCATGACTCAGTGTCTGCCGTGGTCTGAGAGCACCAGGGGGCTGGGGCTGGCCTGTCAAGCTCTGTGTGTCAGCACAGCAGCTGAGAAATGAGGAGCTGCTGCAGGCTGGGATCCAGATTTTATTGGAAGAGGAGCTCCAGCTCCAGGGAGGAAACCCAGGATGTGCAGCCAGAGCAAAGAGAGTCCAGCAGGGCCAAGTCCTACCCCCATCATTACCAAACATGCTTGGAAAGTGTTCAGAACCCATCCTTCTTACAAAATTCATAAGGCAGAGCCATCTGCCTGGCAGCCAGCTCTCATCCCTGCTCCTCACTGGATATTCCCTGCTGAATGGCACAAGGCTCCTTCCCAACTGCCCTAAGCTGGGTGGGAAAAGGAGGAGAGATGGAATAGACACCCAGAGCCTGGTTGGGGATGGTGGCATGGGATTTTCCAGTGCATCCACCACTGACAAATACAAGGTGGGAGAACAAAATACCTTCTATTTTCTATATTGTATATATATGCTATATATATCTATATATAGAGGCAGCAGCTCTGAAACAAGACAGGATTTCTTACCCAGTCTCTGCTAGAAATTTGTCCCTTCAACACTCCCCCTTTAAACCTCGACAGGGTGTGGTAAGTCCACAACCTCACCACCGTGTATTTAAATAAATTAAAAAAAAACTGTTAGGAGCAGAGCATGACTTAAGTAATGTCAAGTGAATAATTCACGCTGGATTTATAATTGATGGGGGATTTAGCAGGAGCAGAGCCATAAGTGGCTTTCTATTAACTATTGATGCTCCCCACCAGGCTCCCGACGAGCTCGGCCAGGCTCCTCGATCACAGATCTGCCCCATGTTTTATTTAAGTGCTCCTAAGAGGACACACAGTCTGGGGGATGCCTCTGCTCCCAGGAATGTCACAGCAGTCCCTGGCTGTGGCCATGCACATGGATGCAGCTCCCAGGGAGCAATCACCATGCAACAGCCAGGATGGGGAGGTGTGTCCAGGGGAGCCCACCCGCTCCTTTCTCCTGCAGATGCCACATAACCCCAAATATCTGAGTGTCTGGATAAACCCAGACCCCCCAGTTCTGCCTTACAAGTTCAGCTGTTTATGGGGCTTTGTGTCTTTTTTGAGGGAGGAGCCTCTAAAATCCCTTTCAGACCTCTTTGCACACTTTATTTGGAGAGCGCAAAAGTGCCAAGATATTCCTGAACCTTCCTTCACCCGTCGTTCACATCCCCATATGAAACATTCAAAAAGCTTCTAAAAATATAGGCACAACACCAAAAGCACAGCAAAAAGAACCCACCCCTATCCCAAGAGCCAGAGTTCCATGTTCCAAACCCTGCCTTTCCAGCAGAGCTGCAACGAGCACCCGATATCACAGCAACCACAGCCGTGGCTCCCTCAATCCCACAGGGAAAGCAGCAGCATCAGGGAGCCCAGAATGCCCATGGCACCTCAGCAGAGCCTCTCACTCCACCATCCCATGGCTCTGCAGAGCATCAGAGACTCAGAGATCCGACCTCATTCCATGCCCAGGGGGGGCTGCTCTGGCAGCACGCAGAGCTCAGCCTGGCCCAGCAAGGACAAAGCCTGAGCGTGGTTCAGGCAGAGGATTGGGAATCATTCACACCATTCCCCTTGGGAAGGCTGGCAGCCTCGGGGCAGAATAAATCCTGAAATCTCCTTGATTGCTAACTAAAAGATTATTGATAAAATAACTGCTCCTAATTCGGCCCTGCTGCCAGCAGAGCTGCAATATCTTTCAATTACCGCTCTGGAGCAAGGCTTTCCCTTGGATTACTGGAAGAAACAACATGAAAAGAAACGCTGGGAAAGGGCTGGAAAGTGAAGGTGAATCTATTTTTGCTGCTTTCCAAACCCAGCTGGGGCTCTGCTCGCTCGGAGTGGGTTTAGCTGCTGGTTGGCTCTGTCTGAGCTGCAGCCACGGGGGTGGTTTGGCAAAGCCCAGAGCTCCAGGAGGATCTGGTGCTTGGGCTAAGCCTGGCACACCCATCCCTGTGACCAGCTCTCAGGGGCTGCTGCAGGGCCATTTCCCACCCACCCTGGCTCTGCCTGACATGAGGAGAACCAGCACGAGGAGCTGCAGGAATGACCCGAGTAACTTGGAAAAACAGATCCATCTAGGATGGAAATGCCTCCAAGATCACCCCAGCACTGCCAAGTCCAGCACTAAACCATGTCCCCAAGTGCCACATCCACACATGAAATGCATTTCTATGAGTGGGGAAGGCAAAGCCACCTCCTTCCCACAAAAAAACCATGGAGCAGAGCGACTGTCCAGGCTCCCAGACCAGCCATGGAGAAAGGGAGAATGAGGGTCCTCAAGGACAGCTTTGGTTCAATGGTTTGGGGCTGCAGAGATGCAAAGCAATTCCTTGCCCCTCCCAGAGGAGCCCAGGACCCAGGGAGTACCTTCTCTGTTCCCAGACCCATAGCACACAAAGGACCACACAGCAAATGACTTTTCTGGGGCTCTCAGACCAACCCAGAGGTTATGAGGGGCCACCTCCAGCTGCAGCAAATCCCCTGTGGCCATGGGACCCCCCCAAAGCCTGGGAGGAGCACCCCCTCACCAGCTCCATGCGCCGGCGGCTGGACTCCAGCTCCCTCTGCACCAGCTCGTCCATGTCAGCCTTCATCTCCTCCATCCTCCTCTGGTAGTACCTGGTGTTCTCCTTCTCCCGAGCCTCCGACTCGGCCGCCTTCTCCAGCTCCTCTCCCATCTGGATGATGCTGTCTCGCAGGCGCAGCACCAGCACCTGGGGTGCGAGGGGAAGGTGAGGTGCTGGAAAGCTCCCTGTCAGCACTGCTGGCTGTCAGAAAGCCCCACAGGGAGGTGACAGCAGTGCCACCGACCAGCCGGGCTGTCCCTCCCAGCCCTTCCCAGGTGCTCCTTTCCCCGCAGGTGAGGAGGGGGTACCTCGAAGCGCTTCATCTGCACGGCCTGGAAGTCCAGCTGGCTCTCCAGGTCCCGGATCCGAGCTTCCTGCCGGCTGACGATGGAGCGCTCGGCCGGGCACTGCTCCAGCTGTGCCACCCTGGCCTGAGCTGCCTGCAGCTGGGAGAGCAGGGGCTGTGTCAGCACCCCCAGCCCCTCTGCTGAACCCCTCTGCTGAACCCCTCCCAGGCACTGGGGGTCTCTCCTGGCCCTGAGGTGATGAGGCCAAGCTCTGCCCTCACTTCCCAAAGAATTCACAGAACAGGTCTGACAGCAGTGACAGCAGTGTCTCTCTGAATGGAGAACCTGCTGGCCAGGGACACGTGTCTGGGGCTCCTTTGCTTTTCTCTTCTCACACACTCTTTGAGGACAGCAGGCGTAAAAATTCACAGCCTTTGTGGAAAGCTGCCTGGACCAAGCTGCTTCCTCAGCTCTGACACCGAGACCTCCAAAGGAAACTGCCCTTTTAGTGATCCCAGTACAGCTCAGGTTCAGATTCTGAATTTGACCTAGAACTATGGGACTTTGTCTCCTTTTATCTGGCCTATCTCCAAAGCACCACCCGCTCCGCCTCGGAGGGAGCGAGTCCTGCTTCTGATTCCTGGGCAGCTTAGCCACGCTCCAATAAAGCACTTAACTTAATGGGATTACTCATGTGTTTAAAATTAAATCCACCACTCCAGGAGGGTTGGCACAGCCACAGAGGCAAGGGGGTGCAGCCCCTGCTGGTGCCCACCCCAGGGCAGCCCCAGGGTCAGCCCATCCCAGCCACGGCTGCTCAGCAGGGGAGGAGGGAGAAGCCAGGCTGTGAATCCCAAGAACTCAGCCAGGAAAAGATTGCCCCAGCCTAAAGAGGTCCCACTCCTCAGCAGAAATGCCACAGGCTGGGCAGGAATTACCTTCTCCTGCAGGCCCTGCTTTTCTTTCTTCACATCCTCCACCTGTGTCTGCAGCTCCCGGATCTGAGCGATGTCTGTGGCCGACTGCAGAAACAGAAAATTTGGAGTGGGAGCAGCAGGATCAGAACCAAGGGCTCGGAGCAGAGAGCTGGTTCCTGCCTGCACCTCCTGCCACTGGGACAGTGAGCTGCTCCTGGACTGCCCAGATGGAGCTTAATTCTCCTAACTCACTGCAGCTTCCCTAATTTCTGAAACAAGTATTTGTGGGTCAGGACAGAAACCAGGTTGTTACCTCTGTCCTCAGAACCCTTCCAGACCCCGGCCCTGGATCCCTATCACCTCTGCAAGGGCCACCAGACTGTGAATTGTCAGCCTGGCCAGCCTGCCCCTCTCCCATGGGAGCTTTGGGGTCCCTCAGCTCCCAGGACAATCCTTTGGGAGAGCCTGACATAGTTTGGGTACAGCACTGAAAGCCCCAGGGCTGTCTGGCAGCACTTTTTCACCTCTGCATGAGAGAATGGTGAAAGGAAGAATAAAAATGATCCAGAGGGGCAGCTGTAGGATTCCCCAAGATTTGGAACTAAAACATCTCTTGAAAGAAGACTTAAAGCTGCAGGTGAGAGGAGCTGGCACCGTAAGCCTTCCCTTCCTCATCACAGCTTCAGTGTCCTGGGGTCCCCACCCCCCTGTGCCCCCTCAGGAGCCACCACCTGCTCTGTGCCAGCCTGCAGGGCTTTCTGAGAGCCCTCCCAGGGGTGGAGACACTGCCCCAGCTCTTACCTGGGCGATCAGAGCCTTGTGCTTTTCCATGAGCTCGTTCAGGTCTTCCTGGTCCTCATCGATGCGTTTCAGCAGGTCGGCTCTCTCATGCTGCAGCTGGACCAGCTGCTCGTCCACCTGCAGGAGGATCCACAGGACCACTGGCTCTTGGATCCCACAGGGAAGCCACCAAATCCCCTCTGGGATGTGCTGTCAGCAGCCTCCAACCCATCAGAGAGGCACAGCAGGCCACGGGATGCTGCTCCCTTGCAGGAATTCTATCCACCCATTAAACCACCCGGGGGGCTGGTGTTTCCAAACAGTCCAGGTGATTGAGTGGATATCCTTGGAGGCTTAGTAAATACGCTCAGACATTTTGTAAATATCCTCCGTGGTGTAATTAACACTCCGAGGTGATTTATTAAACACTCTGCTAGTGGCTGATTTAGCACAGCAGCTGCTGATTGCTGCCAAACCCTCCTGAGGTGGGACTGTGCCCTCCCACCTGCCCTGGTGACACCTCCAGGAACCCACCAGGGTCTTGCTTCTGCTGAGGGTCTCCAGCTCGGTGTGCAGGTTCTCCAGCTCCTGGGCTGCTGTCTGTTGGGCTCCCTGGACCTCTGCACACTTTGCTTGACTCTCTTCCAGCTGGGAAAAGTAGCAGGGGATCATCATTAAAGGAGCAGGAACCACATGCTGATGGTGCTGTCCCCGTGCCACACAGGCACATTTATTTCCACTTCCACACAGGAATTTTTTCTTCCCCTCCTAAAGAACACAGAATCTCCACCTTTTAACCCTGTGCTGCTCCTCCTGGTTTACAGGACAAGCAAATCTTCCTTGGCACCTCCCAGCACAGATCCCAACACCACTGAGTGCCCTGGTGAGTCCAGCAGCCTCGATGGCACATCCTCCCTCTTCCTCGGTGAGGTAGAGCTGGGATCATTAATTTGCAAAATTATGTGAATTACATGTAATTCCTGATTAGAGCAATTCATGATTCGGGGTTTGCAAATGGGCTTTTCACGTGGTGTAAATTGCATTTGCAAATACACGTGGAAGATCCCATTTATAAACGCTAATTTGCTCTCGGGTTTTACAGCTCAGCCATTAAGATCACAACGATTTCAATGGGCTGCAAACATCTGGAAGCTGCAGCATCATCCTGAAAACTTCCCCCCTTGCCTGGATGGAGGAGCTGTCGTAGGCTGTACCTGAACATCCAGTTCCTGCTCCTTGGGGTTTCTTTTTTTTCCTCTACGAAAAAGAAAACTAAACCTTTCTGCTCATTGCTCCTGTGCCTGGTTTCCCTGTGGAGTTCCTGGGAGCAAGGGGAAAAGCTGCATGCCATGGTACCATGGTGAGAGTTTGAGAAATTTAGGCTGTTTTCTCAGGGTTTACTTTCTTTTTTCATCTCTCTTCCTCAAAAAAAATAAAAATAAAAGAAAAGCTGGGGAGGATCATGGAATACTAAAACCGGAGCAATCCTCAGCTCGCTTCCCTCCTCTATTTGGGGAGATTGAGACCTTTCACTAGAGGAGGAAGAACTTTCTTCCATCAGGTGAAAAAAAGTCTCTGTGCTTTGCTGGGTTGAGTTGAAGAAGCCACTCAGATCAACTCCTGGTTTTATGGCTGAGGATTTTCCCACCTGTCCAGCTGCTCCAGAAACTGCTGCATTCACAATCAGCCCTCGGACTGGCCTCTTCCCTGCCACAATTCCCACCAAACTCCTGATAGTTCAGTCAGACAGAAAAGCATCTCCAGGACCCCTCATTAAACATCAGCTTCCAATTCACTTCGTGTAATGGAATTTTCCCACTTGGGAAGAATAAATTGAAATTCCCCCCAAAAAATGCATAATGTATGAACTGTGGAACAACATTAGTTTGCTGTGAACACCATCTGTTAAATACCTGCATAAAATGGATGCCTCAGCCTTATTAAGAAACAATGCTGCACTTCCAGCCATATGGATTTTGATTAACGGAAATGTAGCATTTTAGCAGAGTTTTTCTTCTTGTGCAGGTCTGTGGGCTGGTGGTAGGATGCATTGGCTTTTAAGAAAGTCGTCATGAATGCCATTAGAAATTGTTTCAGTTTAAAGGACAGGATAACCATGTGGCATTTTAAACACATGCAGAGTCTCAGTGTTGGTGGTGCAGCAAAAACTCCACATTCCCAAAATCCAGGCTGTTTGCTCGTCTCCAAACACAAAGGGAGCCGAGCACAGGCCATGGAGTGAGGGAGCCAGGGATGCACTCAATGGAATCACAGGGAGCCAGGGATGCACTCAATGGAATCACAGGGAGAGAGGGGTGCAGGGAGCAGGAATCCCAGAGTCAATAAGGTTGGGAAAGACTTCCAAGGTCCATCAAATCCAACCTGTGTCACCCAGCCCACAGCACTGAGTGCCACGTCCAGTCCTTCCAGGGATGGGGACTCCAAACCTCCCTGGGCAGCTCCTTCCAAGCCCTGATCTCCCTTTCCATGAGGAAATTCCTCCTGATGTCCAGCCTGACCCTCCCCTGGCACAGTTTGATGCTGTTCCCTCTCCTCCTGTCCCTGTTCCCTGGGAGCAGAGCCCGACCCCCCCAGCTGTCCTCTCCTGTCAGGGAGTTGTGCAGAGCCAGAAGGTCCCCCCTGAGCCTCCTTTTCTCCAGGCTGAGCCCCTTTCCCAGACCCCTCAGCTGTTCTCCCTATGCCTTTCCTCTCTAGAGTAAAAATCTATTTCCCCAGCTCTGTTCCCCAGGTGAACTGGGCATGGGGCTGGACACTACAGGACGGATTCAGGATGGGCAGAGGAAGCACCTCAGCATCGGTGTAGGTCCCTCAGATCAGCACATGGAAGGGACCTGAGGGCAGGACCCTGCCACTTTTCCCTTCCACCAGGGACTGGGAAAAAACAGGGGCAGTGCAACCTCTCCAGCCCCAAAATGGGATTTGGGAAACACTGAGGGATTAATGAAGTGTAGCACTGCAGCACTGGGTCAATAATATTTAACAACAGTTAAAGAGTGAGTTAGTGAGTGCAAAAAATGGCCATCCCCTGCCCTGGACATCCAGGTGATGGACACAGGCACGGACACACCGCTGGCTCCATCAGGCCCAGCTCACCTTCCCCTTCTCCCTCAGCACAGCTGGGAACAGCTGCTTCTCACAGCTGTTATTTATGCACAACGACCCTCCCAATTACACTTGGATGTTGCTGGAATTGCTCGTGCCTCCAGATTCGTTTATGTCCAGGGGAAATGTGCAGAACAGATTAATTCCTGAGTGGTTTCAGAGCACCAGCATCTTCAACCGAGCCCCTGCTCGGCACTTGGGAATGGCCCACAAGGGGATGGACAGCCCCGTGGCAGGGCACCCCATGGGAGTAAGAGCTCACCCTGGGGCCAGGGATGTCCCCAGTGTGGTGACACAAGCTGGCACAGAGCTGGAGCCGCTCCCCGGGTCACTCAACACCGCTGAGCCCGGGGCTGCCTGTGCTCAAATCCCCCCCAGATCCCTCTCCCGCTTCCAGCATCCCTATGGCAACGCCGCCCCAGCCCGGCCATAGGAGACACACAGAAACGCGCCAAACAGAAGGTAATTAACAGGAAATAAAAATAAAAATAAAAGGGAAACCCACTTTCACCAGTGCTGGCTTAATTACAGGGAGATGCTCCTTCCCGGGCGACCCCGCTCAGTCAAAGCAGGGGAGCTGGGAATGGTCTGGGGACAGGAATGGTCTGGGGATGGGAATGGTCTGGGGATGGGAATGGTCTGAGGATGGGAATGGTCTGGGGATGGGAATGGTCTGGAGATGGGAATGGTCTGGGGACGGGAATGGTCTGGGGACGGGAATGGTCTGGGGATGGGAATGGTCTGGGGATGGGAATGGTCTGAGGATGGGAAATGGACCCCACAGCTCCCTCCCTACCTGTCTGCGCAGGTGCTCCAGCTCCTGGGCGCTGCCTGCAGGCTGTGCCGGGGCCGGCAGCAGCAGCTGAACATCGGCCAGGAGGGCTCGGGTCCTCCGCAGGTCCCGCCGCAGCCGCTTCTCCACGTCGAAGTCGCGGTGGCCGATCTGGGGAGGGGACAGGGGGTGTCTGAGCTCTGCTGCTCCCTGGAACACCTATCAGGCCCTTCCGACCCACCCCAAAGCGCTCCCCGCGCAATTTAGGGATATTTTGGTCAGCTGCACCAGAGCACTGAGTGTAGAGGCGAGTTGTTCCTTCAACACTTCCAGGGTGTTCCGTATTTGTCCCCACCAAAGAGCTGCTCCTCTGGAAACATTTGCCCACTCCTGGTCTCCATCGGCCACATCCTCCCCAGTGACCACCCCTGTGGCCAGAGGGACAGCCTGGCCCCACAGCTGCAAAGAGTACCTTAAAAAACCCACCCTCAATGCTCCCAACCTGGAGAGAGGGAGAGAGCGACCATGGTTACAGGGATAAAGGAATTAGAAAACAACCAAATAAACAGGGATGTTGTTTCAGTGCTTGATTTCAGCATAACTGAAGTATAAGAACGTTTTCCATTTAGGTTGTTTTCCACAGTTCTCATTTCAAACCCCTTCCTTCTCCTATTTTCCGTTCACTGGCTAAAATCAACTGTGTGGATTTGACCTTGTAGCCTGGTTTAGAGCTGGCTGGAATTTGCTGGAACAAGAAATCATTGGCATCTCCATTTCCTTGATTAGTTTTCTGGGTTGGCTGCTTTCTTTCCATTTTTTAATGAACTGTCCTCTGCAAAGCAGAGGGTGTTTGCAGCACCACCACTGCTGTCCTCCTGCCATCCCTCCAGCTAGACCTGGATGCTGCTCACATCATTTTCCTGTTGCTCAGGGTCTGTCAACGACCACAGGGGATAAATTTGGTGCCATGGCTGGAACCAGCTGCCCCCTCCCACCACTGCAGCCCAGATTTTTAAGTGACAAAGGCAGGATTTGATTTAATAGCTGCTGCCAAACTGTGGTTTTGCATGGCCCCATCTCCCCTTCCCTTACACCAGGACCGCCCTTGGCGGGCTGGGGGCTCTCCTGGAGGGACAAGGAGCCTTTCCTCCTGAGCCCCCCCAGCTTCTGCTGCTCCCTTATCCATCTCAGCTCCCCTCCACCCACACACTGGATTGTTGTAATAATCCCCTGCTTTGATACAGCATTATTTATTGTGACAGTTCCCAAAACATTTTCTAAGCCAGGAGCGGGAGGGTTGTGTTGGATAAGACACATTTTGTGTCTACTTGAAATATGCCCCCCATTCCAGAGCTGCAAAGATCCCAGATTTATCCCATTTAATGAGCACATGGGACTGCCAGGGCTGCTGGAATGGTGAAATCCAGCTCGTGCCAACAGCCAGAGGACACAGGGCTTCGTTTCTGTGCCAGGGTGGGTGGCACTGGGACAAGGCAGCTTGAGGGTGGGCAGGAGGTATCAGGACAGATCCTCCATGTAGGAATTCCGAGCACAAAAACTTCTCAAAATCTCATGCATGTAAGCCCAAACACAAAAACAAACACCAAGTTCAACCTAAAACCTTAGAAAAAGCTTCCAAATTTAGAAACCATAAGCAAAAATGTGAGTTTATAATTTAAGTTAAAAAAAAAAAAACACATGAAACTAAGTAGTAAATTTTTTTAGGTTTTAAAATTAAAATATAAAAAGTTATAAAAAGAATTAATTATTTAAATAAATAATAAATAATAAAAAATAACAATTCCTCTGTGATGAGCAGGATTGGATAAACTGCTTTTCTAGGCAGCTGGATGCACTCCAGGGCTAAACCTGGCTAGTTTGACTCTCATGAAACACCAGGAGCAAGCAGATGCCTCCCCCTGCTTGGGTAATTTTCCTGTGCATAAGGGAACACTTCCCCTCTGCAGGTCCTTAGTGGCTCCTGTGTGATCCCTGCAGTCCCAGCACCTCCAGATCCCTGGATGGCATCTGGGGGAGATGAGGGACCGAGCTCCACGAGCAGCTGCACGTGCACCAACACCAGGATGTTGCTTCGGCTGCCCTTGTTATTCCCACTCCTGGTTTTAGGGCAGGACACTGGCCCCTTACCTGCTCACACAAGGTGCCAATGAGCCCTTCCAGGTCCTGCTTCTCGTGCAGCACCATCTGCTTCTGCTCGTGCTCCTGCTCCAGCTGCATCTCCAGCTGCCGGAGCTGTGGGGGAGAAACCCAGCCACGCTCAGTGCCCAGCCACCCCTCCAAGTGCCAGCAGGGCAGGGCCACTGCCACAGTGGGGATTTGGTATTACAAATCCCATTTCTCCATTTCCAAACCCCATTTCTCCATTTGGAGAGGGAGTGCACCGAGGTCTCTGCAGCCAGCACTGGGGACCAGGGATGGGCCATGTCCTACCCCTGGCAGTGCCACTGCAGCAGAGAGGAAGCAGTCCAGGGACCTGCAGGACATTGGGGACAGGATGGGCTATTTGAAGTACACCCAGTCATGCCCTGCAGCTCTGGCATTCGTGTTTGCACCCATCAACCTCATTGGTAGCCTCGAGGAAAGGGGATTTCTTACAAATCATCCCCAAACACGAAGCCCTGGAGCTGGTGCCCTTGGTGTGACTCCGGTGTTACTGGGAGCAGTGAACCCATGTGCTGCATCACACACTGTCCCCAACAGCCCCACCAGCGTGCCAGGGGCTCACCCCTGACCCAAAGGCTGATCTGCACCCCCAGGCTGTGACTGAGGCTCACGCTGGGGTGATGGTGGGACAGCAGCACCCCGCACTTCCCTGAGAACATGGACCCCTGGAAGGGCTCCTGGGGACGTGGGGAGCTTTGGCGAGCACCCAGCATCAAACCCACCCAAGCAGGACCTACCCTCTTCTGGCAGGACTTCTGTGTGTCCTCCAGCTCCTCATCCTTGTCCTCCAGCTCCTTCTGGTGGATCTGCTTCATCCGCTCAATCTCCAGCTCCAGCCTCTCGTGGGCCTGAAACACCCAGAGACAATGTACAGCCCCGAGGGAATGAGGATGGTGCTGGCCTGGGCTTGATGTGCCCAGTGGGGACAGACTCCCCCAGACCCACATTACCTGCTCCAGGTGATCAACAGCTGCTGTTTGCCTCTCCAGCTCCTTCTTCTGCTCAGCAGCGCTGCCCTCCAGGTCCCAGAGCTTCTTCTTGAGTGCAGGCACCGTGTCCGTGCCCCCGGGGCTGCTGAGCTCCTGCACTCGCCCGGCCAGCACGGCCACCTGCTGCTCCAGCCTGGCCACCTCGGCCTCCTTGTGCTGGGCAGAGCAGGGCTCAGAGCCCGGACACTCACACCCCACTCTCAGAACCCACTGCATTTCCAAACTCCCTGGAGCAGCAGCTGGGGCTGGCCAGCCCCTGCCCCACATCAAGAGCACCATCCCTACCTTCCCCTCTTGATCCTGACCTCACCTTCCCACTCCCCTGGGGTGTCCCCCCTGGGTTCCCTGCAGCCCCCACTGCCTGGGGGTGCTGGCAGCACCCCTGGGGCTTGCCCCCATGCCAGCAGCCACGCTCCTGCCACCACCATCCCCCAGGGCAGCACCATCCCACAGGGCACAGACCAGCACCTTCCCCAAGAGGGGATTGGGTGTAGGAATGTGAGGAAGAGCACAAGTGACCCCAGTGAAATTGGGGTGGCCCTGATTAGCTGAATCATGGGATGGGGATCACTGTAGCAACGGCCCTTCTTCTGGAAGGGGAAAGTTATTTAAACACACTGAACTGTGCTAAGAGAAATTGGAATCAAGTTTCCTGAGTGCCTCTGCTCTAATTGCAAAGGTAATTGCTTGGCTCCCAGAGAGGCTCCCAAAACTGGGTACAACACAGCAAAGTGGGCTCTCCTCTTACCTCCAGGCTCTGCTGAAGTTTGCCCATCTCCCAGCGGATGCTAGTGTTCTCCTGGGACAGCTTTTCACGGAGGCTCTTCTCGAAGGCAGATTGTCCCAGGGCCTGGGCTAACTGCAGGTCAAACCTGGAGGGGAACACAGCAAGGTCAGGCTGGACGGGGCTTGGAGCAATCTGGGATAGTGGGAGGAGGATATTCCCCCTCCATGGCAAGGGATGGAACTGGATGAACTTTAAAGGTCCCTTCCAACCCAAACCAGTCTGGGATCAGACCACGTGTCAGTCACACAGCAATGGGGTGGACTCCCAGCAGCTGAAACAGATGGAAACAGCTCCACCCTTGCAGCAGCTCCTCACTCACCCCAACCCTCCCCATTCCCCATTCCCTGGCACCTTCTCCAGCACCTCCAGCCCTACCCCAGCCTTACTTCTTCTGCCTCTTCTCCAGCTCGTGGCTGCGGCTCTGCTGGTTCTCGGCCAGCACCCGGGCATCCTCCAGCTCGCAGGCCAGGCGCTGGCAGCGCCGCCGCAGCCGCTGTGCCCCGTCCCGCGCCGCCTGGCACGCAGCCTGCGCCTCACCCAGCTGCAGGAGGGGGCACAGACACTGTGGCATGTCCAAGGAGGGACACACGGACCCCCTGGACCCCACCGAAGGTGGGATCCCACTGACCCCACAGCACACACCCCCCCTGGATAAAAGCCCCACCAGGACTCAGCCTCGCTTCAGTCCCCAGAGATTTTTCACTAAACAAGGACAACCTGAGGTGTTGTGACCCCTCCAGCTCCAGGCACCCCCCGAGTGCCTGCAGCATCCCAACCCCTCCTGCTGAGTCAGCAGAGCTGTCCCGGGGCAATGCCTGATCCCGTTTGTCTGCAAAAAGCAGCCTCTGGACTGGAATCCCCAAGGATTCACATTGTGTTTGGGACAGACACGAAGAGCTCTCCCACGCCAGGGAATGGAGTCGTTAAGGAATGACTTTAAATAAGCAAAATCTTGCATTAATGAAGCCTGTAATTCCAAACTAACTGAGAGCAAATGGGCTGCTTCGCTTTACCCAAGCTCCTAAGACTCAGCTTCTTTCTTATTACTATTTAATGTACCATGAGAAATCTTTATTTCTTTGTTTTATCCTTATGGGAAGTGACCTGGCTCCCAGGCACTACTCAGGGAGGCTTTTTCCCTCCTCGGGGCAAAGCTTGGGAGCTGACAGCTCCTTCCACCAGCAGTCCTTTGTGTGAGAGATGGGGGAGCACAGCCCTGTACAGCTCCTAAAGCCAGAGCAGCACTAAGACCCACCACTAAAAACCCCCTGCCCATGCTCACACTTGACCAAGGTAGAATTTTGCCATGCAGAAGAGATTTCTGAGGCTCAAACCAGTAGAAAATATCCAGTTTTCCCTGGTCAGTGGGAGCAGCAACAAGAAGCAGATGCAACGCTGAGCCTCAGCCCTGCAAAGCTCCTGGGAGCTGGGAGAGGAATAGCCCTAGAATAGCCCTGCTCCCTTGGGTGTCTCTGTCCCCTCCTGGGCTGGCAGCACTTGCCTTTTGCTCAAGCCCTGTCCGGGTGCCCAGCTCTGCCTCCAGGCGCTCCTCCAGCTGTGCCAGCCGCTTCCGCAGGAAAACGATCTCGGTCTGGGCACAGTCAAACCTCACCTGCCACTCGTCCTCTGCCAACAAGAGACACCCAGCGGTGCAGGGTGGGTGCTGGGGCCTGGCCAGCCCCTGTGCTCCTGCTGGGGATGCACAAGGCAGCGGCACCAGCACAGAGCTCACGGGGCACTGCTCTGCTTTGTGAGCCCAGGGCTGCCCCACTCACACAGAACACGTGCCCTGCCTCAGGCACAGCATGTGTGCCCATCCCATCCCATCCCATCCCATCCCATCCCATCCCATCCCACTTGTGTCTCAGCAGCCTCCTCTTCACCCCACACATTTCAGACACACCCAGAGGTGCCAGCATTGCCAGGCAGTGCCAGCAGCACCCTGAGGCACATCACCAGCAGCCCCATGCCAGAGCCAGAGCTGTGTGACCGAGCTGTCACTGCCAGCTCCCACTGGATGAGCAATGCAGGGTGACAGAACACTCTGGAGCGGCCAAGGGCTGAAGAGTGGCACTGACTGGGGGGGACACAAACCTCTGCCCTCTTCTCTGTGGCCCCACAGTTCAGGCTGGATGCCCAGAGCATGCACTGCCTCTGGAGGGACATCCCTACCTCCTCCAGAGCCGCTTATCTTCATCTCACGCAGCTGCACCAGCTGCTGGGCCTCTTCCAGCTGCTTCTCCACCGACTCCAGTTTCTTCTGCACTTGATCGTGTTTGCTCTGGGGAAGAGAGGAAGGGAGCAGCTCTACCTAGCTCTGGGGCACTCAGGAGGGCTGTGTCAGGGGGTGGCACAGCCACTGTCACTGCACAGGGGCTCAGGGCTCTGGTACCTGCAGCTCCTGCAGCTCGCGGGTGCCCCTCAGCCGCTCCGCCCGCTCCCCATCCAGGGCCTGGCAGGTGACATCGCCCTTGTAGCGCTCATCCGACAGCTCCGTGGTCAGGTCGATGATCTGGGGGAGCAGGAGGTCAGTGTGGGCATGCCTGGGGGTGGTTCTGCCATCCCACATCCATCAAGAGTCCTGACAGCTCTGCCTGTTCTTGGGAGCACAGACCAGTGCCGGGCAGTGTCAGCAGTGGGAGTCCAGCACCTGTGCCTGCACTGCAGGCAGGGCTCATCACACCTCTCCATTGCCCTCCTGCATTGCATCACATTTCCTTTGGAACCAGGAGCGGGTGAATGAAGGGGAGGATTATTAATCCAGAAAATCAATTCCATTTTCCGCAGAGCAGATGGGCACGTGGTGCTTCCTGCTCAGCCAGTCCAGCGAGGGGCTGCAGAGGCAGCGGGCCCACAGGAGAACACAGCATTCCAACACTCCTTTCCCGTGTCTGACAGCATTTTAAGGCACCTCACATTGTGCAGGCACCAGCTCCTTAGGGAGTCCCACAGGTTGGAGCTAGTAAGCAAATCCCACAGGATTTCTCTCCCTGGGCAGACGGTGTTTTCTGAGGTCTGCTCTGAGGCAGCTGCCTTGCTCAGCATTCCCAAGGAGCTTAAACTAAATCATCTTTACCCCCAGTGATGAGGAGGATCCTGGCCTTGGGGGCTGTTGGCTCCATTAGGCAGAGCTGCAGCCTAGACCCAGCTCAGCCCTGCTGCAGCCAAGGGAGCTGGGAAAACCCAGGGTATTTATAGAAACCTTGGGAGCTCCTTCTCCTCATGATGCTTGGCAAAATCCCAGGCACATCACAAGGAGCTGTGCATCCGAGAGCAGAACCCATAGAGGACCAGCAGCCAGCTGGGAACATGGAATCCCAGCATGTTTTGGGCTGGAAAGGACCTTAAAGCTCATCCAGTCCCACGCCCTGCCATGGGCAGGGACACCTTCCACCAGCCCAGGCTGCTCCAAGCCCTGTCCAGCCTGGCCTTGGATACTTTCAGGGATGGGGCAGCCACAGCTGTTCTGGGCAGCCTGGAGTGATGCCAGTCTGGAATTCTGCAGCTGGACACTGCAGCCTGTCCGGAGTCCTGTACAGAGAACCATCCCTGGCAGCTGCCCCTCCCCATGGCTGCTCCTGCTCTGATGGAACTGGTGCTCCTGCCCCATCAGCTCCTTTCCCAACCTGGCCAAACCGGGCTGTGGCAGAGGTTTTGGGGTCTGTCTCAGATGTTTTGGGGGCTGTACCAGAGGTTCTGGGGCTGTACCAGAGGTTCTGGGGCTGTACCTTGCTCTCCAGACTCTCTGTAGTCAGTCTGAGCTCGCTGCACGCCTGCTCGGATTTTTCCAGCTTCCTTCTCAGCACCGCCAGCTCCTCCTAGGGAAGATTGGAAAAAAACACATGCAGAGAGTTCCAGCATCCTCGGTTTATTTATGAAAACCTTGTTTTCTGTTCAAAATAAGTGGAAGAGACATAGCTGCCTTATTAATAAAATTTACCAGGCAACTTTGAAGGCTGCTCACTGCAAATTGCCGGGACTACAGCTCCTGACATGAATTCCATTGGAGGGAATGTCAGCTTTGGTGTGTGTAGAGCATGTTTTATGAGAGAGCAGCAAACCTCAAAAGCCTGGGATGAACAGCCAGGGGCCTGGATCATGCCCAGGGAGCGTCCCAGGGCCCTGGCAGGTATCAGAGCACAGTGCAAAGGCACGGTGTTGGCTGTGATTCCTTCCCAGGCAGCAGGAGCTGCTCCATGCAGCCTTGTCCCGCTTTGATGTCCAACACTGAGCAGCAGCAGAACATGCAGAGTCGTGATAAAAACAGAGGTTAACAGATGATGGGGCCTGATGGGTCCCGGGTGGGTTTGGAGACAAAAACAGAGGCTTGAGCAGCTTTTATTTCATCTGAGCCAGCCTGAAAACATCTTGTTACAATCTCACTAAGGCAAGAGGGGGAGCACGACTCCAGGGAAGATAGAGTAGGAATTTAGCATGGGTCTCAGAGGGTGCAGAAGGGTGAAAGGAGCCTTTCCTGGGACAAAAAATGTCCATTAGTATCTCCCATCACCCAGGGCAACACAGGTGGATGCCAGAACAGCACTGGGGACAGCACAGAGTGGAGTCCTCTCTGTCACAGGCGTGTCTGAATGCTCATCTTCCACCACAGGCTGACGAGCCCATCCCCAGGGGTTTGGCTCAGAGGGGACAGCCCCTGGAGCTTGCAGAGGGCACGAGGAGGGCAGTGGGGGAACCCTGGGATGGGGTTTGACTGTGGGGACATGGTGTGTTTGCTACTGTCCCTCTAAGCAACAAGTCACTTGTCCCACCACAGCAGAACATGTGACACTGGGCTAAGAACAGATGGCAACTTCTGGATGGCAGGAAAAACATTTTTGCCTGGGCAGAAGTGACTTCCAAATTGACCAATCCACCAGTGCAGAGGCCCTAAAGCACCCTGACCCGTCCTGGTGGACGGATGGACGTCACCCATCCCATCCCATCCCATCCCATCC